TAAGACAAAAACAGGCAAAAAAAAAAAGCATAAAATTTGACCCCCAAAACCCTAATTTCAGTTTTCAACAAACGAAAAAGCATTGGCTTTGGCTCTGCGCAGGATTACTACTACGGAATTGCGAAAGCTCAGTGATGATCGATAGAAAGCTGTAATATGTTTCTCAAAAAGACACAAGGAGAAAGAGAGGGGGGAAAAAAAAGGACAACCGGGTATTGGGAAGCGGTAATGGCGAAAAAATACAGCAAAATGGGATTTGTGGATGATATGGTGCCCCTTTTGCAAAATGCAGTTTCAGCTCTAGGAAAGTGATACTCCAGAAGACGATCGATCTTCGTTCGATAGGACGTTTTTGTATCTGCATCTCGGTCAAAAATTTCCCAAAATACATCCCCCATCTTCTATGGTCTATTCAGCGCTCCCCCCCTCTCCCCCCCCACCCCCACCCCAACCCACCCACCCCGGTGAAGTAGATTTTGTCAATGCTTTATCCATTATGTCAAAAATGACCTTCGTTTTAACTACCTAGGGTTTTATATATTATAAATGACTTTGTCGTGTGTATTATATGGCTGTTGTTTGCTGGTCCATGTTTTTCTGTCTGTCTGTTTTTGGTTTGTATTTGCAGCTGTCTACTCTACCGGAATTCAAAACGGCCAAGTGTGTGAAGGTGAACCCCGACACACCGCAAAAGCCAGTGCGGTATCTCTCTCTCTCAGGTGCAGCTATCCCTAATGCCTTGGCCTCTGATCTTTTTCGAGGCTCCTGTGAACCCTGCTTTCTTGCATTTGCCTGCCTGCCATGCGTACTTCACTGCTTAACCCCGATTTGAGGCCGTTGACCGGTATGATTTTGGGTCCTAAATTCTCCTTCCCTGATCCTTGACCCCTAACCCCTAACCCCTAACTCCTAACCCGTAGCCCTTGACCCACAACCCCTGATCCTTGACCCGTAACCCCTAATCCTTGAACCCTGTACTGTAATTCCCGACCGTGACATCTATTTTTGGCTCCTGACCCCTACCGTCTTCCCCCGAACATGGACCCTCATTTTGACTGTATGTGACCGGAAAGGTAGCTTGTATAGTCTCATAACGAGGGTGTATGGTGGGTAGTTTATCTGGGGCGGATGCCTATTGTCTGGGGGGTTGAGAAATTCTGAAAGATGCTTCGATTTACCATAACCAGGTTCATCTCGTAAAACAATTGCGAACTCGAAAAAGCATCTTGGGTAGTTTGTGGAATGAAGAAATAATAATGACCTATTTCGACAGCTATTTTCCCATCTGGGCGATGACGGACTTGATGCCTATTAAAGCTGAGGCCGAATCAAATTTCAAACGATTTTTTGCATAGAAAAAATATTGCATAACGAAATAATCTATTGCGTGCTTTATCAACTTGCTCGATTTGTCAAAACTTGTGTTTTTTGGGCTGGTTTTGGATTTTTGTAAACTTTTACTGAGGAAAAGTTCAAAAAACAGATGAATAAGAGTTCTTTTAGGAAAATGGTGTATAACACTTTTGGCTGCCTGTTGCTGAGCCCACTCGTTCAAAGCATTCTCCATTCCGTGCAAAGCAGTTTTGTCCTGTAAAGGCGATATAACTTGAGGCTCGCCAGAGTTATATATATAGTTATACGTGGGCCGAAACGAGTCATAATGTCTGCTTTCAACTAGGCCTTAATCTGATTCCTCATCACAGGATACGTGTCTAGTACTGTCTACCTTTTCCAAGAGGCACGAAGTGTTGATTCGACCAAAGAATTTTGCAATGTCAGCGTCAAGCACATATTTGGCTCTAATGGCTCTAGATGCCAGAGCTTCCATGGCATCCAATGTTTTACGTGAGTAACACAAGCTTTTAGAGTCTGGACAAAGAAAGAAAGAAAAATCAGAATGCGCGAAATTTGTTCTATTAATTTGGCATTTTACTATTCAGTGTGCATGCTAATTTCAAAACAAAATTTACTTCATAATAATTGAAGAAATTCTAGTATTTAGTTTTGTGGGTTTTGTTTTGTTTAGTCAAAAACATTTGGCGAAACTTTGAAGGCTACTTTCGAAGCAAGAAGCAAATCTGCATTGTGTTCGGGGGACGACGGGTAGGGTAGTCTTTCGCCTCTCATGCTTGACCCGTCACCCGTAAACCTTGACCTCAACCCCTCTAATCTTTTGTCCGTGGTCCCTGGTCCGTGACTCCTGATGTGTAATACGTAACCCTACCAGTAGTCTTCGACTGCTGACCTTAACCCTCGACTCCTGATCTCTTGTCCTTGATTTCGGACCCCTTAACCTTGACGCCTGACCTGTAATCCCCTTGACCCCTGACCTAGTGTTTACCCCTAACCCTCAGTAGTCTCCTTTCCTTGGTGCCCGACCCTTGACCCCTGACCCCTCATCCTTCATGAGGGGTGTGGATTCACAAACCTGATGTGGACCCGTGAACTCCTACCATGTGTAGTCTCCAAGTCTCCTGTGGACTACCGTCTTCACCTGAATAGAACGCCCGGTCATTATTGCTGCATCTGGACTGAAAGTTGGGCCAAATGCAGCTATAATGACCGGGCGTTCTATTCGGGTGAAGACGGTAGGGGTTGACAATGGGTTTGTGAGGGCATGGTCAGGGGGGTCTATGGCTAATGGTTGTAAGGGGTTTTGACGAGGAGTTAGCGAGGGGTTAGTGAGGGGTTAGCGCGAGGGGCTGGTGAGGGGTTTATGAAGCACTGATGAGGGTAGTACTCAAGTCTCTTGGGAACTAGTATTTGGTACGTGATTTACGAGGGGGTTGATGAACCGTTGATCAAGGGTTGATGATTGAGGGTTTGATGAGTTTTGACGAGGGTTCGAAGACGGATTGACTGCCCCTCTTCCTCTCCTGATTGATGGTTGGATGAGTCTTGATCGAGGGTCATTTTAATGTTATGCAAGCTCTGTTTTCTGATCTAAAACATTCATTGTAACGGGGTGTGTTGTGCCTGGGAGAAGAAGGTAGGGGGTGCAAAGGGTACCACGTTGCAAGCAGGGAGCAACCAGTTATGACTACTTCGGCGATGCATTCTGTCGATTGTGCAGTCACTTCTATGTTGTGTGCTTCCTACGTAGGTGCAGGTCTTTGATGACTCGGAATTTTTTTTCATCCGATTTGAACCGCCAGTATCCTGAACTTATTTTGTCGAACCTGTTGTTCTTTTTGTCTTTTTCCCGACCCTGACTTGCCAAACCTCCTCCGCTGGGGTCAACTTCCAATCATGGCAGTTAGTTATTGTGGGAGGTTGTTGTCTGCCCAGATCACGGCCTGATGGTGGAGGTTGGTGGCTGCAATTTTTGTGGCAGCGTCTCTCCAGCGTGCCACCAGTCTGGTATGGGCCCTGCCTGTGGCCCGTTATGTAAACCGCCAAATTTCACTGTAATTTTTTGAAGTCAAACGAAGTATGCTTTCCATGTTATAAGGAACCTCGCAAAAGTGGTAAGGGTGAAAATGGGAGGGTGGCTCTCCTGGCTGTAATAATTATAATACTCCCCTGAGAGGGCCAAAACCCTAACTGCAAATATCAACAGCCGAAGTCCTAAGTTCTCCTAACCCTATTTCCCGACTCCTGTCTTTACCTGAATAGAACGCCTGATCGATATACTTGTATTGGGTGCAGTTTTCAGTCTAGATACAGCTTTAATGACTGTGCGTCCTATTTCAGTGAAGACAGTAGCATGGGAAATTGCCCGTCACCAGAGGTTTAGAAATGTGAACGATGGGTATGTGAACGATGGCTGGGACCTTAGGGCAGACACATTTATGGTTATTTCATGCCAAGTCTATGGGAAAGTGTGTGAACTTGACGTTGACGTGCCACTGCACGATGTTTATTTGTCTGTGTGTTGAAATCCAATACATGTTACCTCCAGGTAGGGCATATACTTAATGATAGGGATTTCGTGGGTGTATCTGACTGCAATGATGGCAAAATTCAGTTAAAATAGCATGTCCTAGTTTTCATTATCTGATTGCTAACGTCAGATATCCCTATGAAGACCTATACGGAGCCCAGTCGGCCTTGCCCCTGAGAATGACTCTTCAGTGTAGATCCTCCTGCAGCAACTGACATGTTATGATCCTGGCCAATTTCGAGATACACATCCATCAGATAGTACAATGCTGTCCAATTGCAGAAAGAAATGAATGAACTTGAGAGGAGAGAGAGGATTAGAAGAAGAAGTAAGAAAGAAGAAGAAGATGATGTGCACTTCCTTCTTCCTTCCTCGTGTCCTTCTCCTTCCTCCCCAGCAGCGCTGCTCCAGCATAGCGCTGCTCCAGCATAGCGCTGCTCCAGCCAGCGCTCCACCAGTGTGTCGCCAAACTTGCACACCGAAAGAGAGGCCGGACTCTCCGCTCGGCCCGAAGATATAGCGGCCTGCTTTGCCTCTTGGGCGGTGACTTCCAGGCCACTTGGCCTCCCAAGCAACCGGTACCTCCTCCTTTTTGGAGGGAAACATCATTGCAGACTCTGATACTGCCCGTACCGGCCCTAGACTCAGACTGGTATCCGCCTAGACCTAGCCTACACTACTGGGCCTCTAAAAATGCCACTTTTGTCTTCTTCTGCTCGGCCTCCGGTACCTGCACATCTACCCCTTCCAGGTGCGGTACCGGCCTACCTGCTACTTGAGTGCTTTTCCCCGCTGCAACCCCTCGATGTCACGGCCACAGGTAAGTACCGGCCCTGAGGGCCCAATGAACGAGCAAGTGCCCTGACGGGCCAAACACATACTCGTGCCAACCAGCACTCAGACAGGCACGGTCACACACACACCCAAGCCAACCAACACTCAGACAGGCATGGTCACACACACACTCAAGCCAACCAGCACTAAGACAGACAAGCAGTCCAGCAAGCGTGCACACACAGACTTAGTAGCAGGCGAGAAACTCAGCAAGGTATTCAGTCTATGAGCAAAACTCAGAAATCAGCTGTGTGTTTCAGTCCATGTTTGGATGGGTCATCGCAGACAGCAGAGCTCTCAGAACTTGACAGGTCAGTGGAGGAAAGGAGGGAGGATGAACACTGCTCAGGCGTCCAGCAGTTGGCCCATCTGCATAATTGCAACATGAAGGGATTCTTCTGAAAGTATGAAGTGCCGAAACGTATACATCTAAACTTTGCTCTGTGCTCAATTATCTTTTTCATCTTTTTCCTTCTAGACTCTCTATTTACGACAAGTTGTGGTAAAGTTCTCATCGCTTCTTCAACTTTTGAGTTTGCACAAGACTCTTCTGCACTCTCGACACTGAGAGACTCCTCCCTGCTGCTGTTCTTTTAAGAGAGGAGTGTGTGAGTTGCCGAAACATAGAAGAAGAAGATATACAAAACTTTCGCTTGTGCTTGATCTCATCACTTCTCAGCCTTGGCTCTGCACCGGATTCTCCTCGAGTGTTGGCCCTGCAAATTTTCCTTCTGCCGCTCTCGGAGAGGAGTGTGAACTGCTGATATGTATATAACTCCAAACTTTGATTGTGCTCAATTGTTTGTTTTAACGACGACAGGTGGTAAAGTTCTCATCACGCCGCAGCCTCGACTTCGCACTGGATTCTTCTCCTCTCTTGACCCTGCAAAACTTCCTGCTGCTGCGTTAAGAGAGGCTTGTACTTCAGCAGGTGCGGCCAAGTATGGTGTGCAGCTCGGACTGGATGCAAAGATTAAGGTGGATCTTATTGTGATAGGCTCCGTTGCTGTTGATCCCTCCACGGGGGCACGCCTCGGGAAGGGTGAAGTAAGTTCTCATACACTTGAATCCCTGTTTTCCTGTTCTCTGTTGGATTTGCTGATTATGTGTGTGTGTGTGTGTGTGTGTGTGTGTGTGTGTGTGAGAGAGAGAGAGAGAGAGAGAGAGAGAGAGAGAGAGAGAGAGAGAGAGAGAGA